TCATCAGATGAGGACGGATGAAACTCGTTGTACTGCAGCCGGTTGGATTTTATACGATATTCATGTTGACGTAATCCATGGGACTTCCTCCCTCGTTTCGGGTCAAAACGTGCTAAGCTTTCGTCCATCATATGATGGACATCTTCAGAGCTGGGTGTCATTCTTGTAAAAGTCAAATATTTAATTAGGCCAAGAAGACTATCCGGCTTTATCCTACCTCTTATTTGGCTAACTCTATTTCATAAACTTCCTGCTACTTTTGCTCGAGTGTATGCGTGTGTGTGTTAGCGTCTATACGCAATACCGGTCCTAAATCAGAATTATCAAAAGGTTAAAGTTAGACTCTGATCATCAACGCCTAATGACCTCAAAGAAAGCCCTAACCGAGACTGCGTAAGTCCGTAAGCAAGTATGATTGAGATAATGAGACACACAGACGTACCTTAATCAGCAAACCTACTAGTTTGAGATCATTCTATTTCATATCCTGTTTATACCATGTGTTCGGCCACTTCTGACAGTTGGATCCAGCTACCTATGCAAGCATTTTTGTGTTCTACCAATCTTTGTCGGATAGGTCGGCATGCATCACCAACATAACATCGACCACATGAGCATATGAGGGTCATATTTCTCTCTAAAAGATGGCATAATAGAAGAAAGGGTGAGGGTTTCTTTGAACACTGTTTTTATGTCCCACTTCTTCATTAATTCGCCTAGCTTTTTTGAGAGAAAACATGACGGCAAAATTAGGACATGGGAAAAGGTCTCATTCTGTGTCTCTAACTAAATGGTCTCCGTCTAAAAATGTATTCCTCAGTAGAGAGATATTATTTTCAATCAAGCCCAAAGGATAATCGATTTCCAGGAATACTAACGATTGGCCCAACAAGATGTGGCTCTTGGAATTGCTGAGATGTGATAATTTAAGTTGACTTTCGAGGTAAGGGTTAAGCTCACTTCCATCTGTACAAATGTGGGATGGAGAGAATCGAAGGTCAATCCAACCAGACGCCCAA